GGGGGAAAATATGTGCTTGAGATGGGAAATATTTCACACATGGGGGGGGTGCGGGGTTTATTTCCGCGTTTTTTTATGTTTTTTGTCCCCCACACATTTTGGCGGGGGAGAAGAAATATTCCGGGCGGAAAAAACCGCTGGAAGAGAAAAAAAATGTCGGGTTTTTTTGGGGCCCAAATTTGAAACACAGAGGAAAGAGTGTTTTTTTTTTTTTTCCCCTTTAAAAAATTAAAGATTTGAGCAATTAAGCGGTGGGAAAGGGAGCGTTTGGTGATGAGGGTTCTCAGCCCTCCCTGCATCTCAACTTCTTCAGTCTTCAATTGTGGACTGGCGAGATCGCTTGGCAACGAACTCGGGTCAAACTCATTCGGGACCAGCTGATCGTCATCCACACCTTTCTTCGTCTTCTTTAGACGCTTGTTCCTTTCAGCGCAAGACATCGTCTCCTTCACGGGGATGACTTGCATCGAACGTCGGCAGTAGTCGACGAAGTAGCTCTGCCACGCTTCCCAATTAGCGTGGTATTTGACCGGCGGGTTCACGGGCACACTCGCAGCGTCGGTGCTCTGGCTTCCAGGTTTTTCACTATCACCATCCGTTTCTGAAGACCGCACAGCCTCCGTATTTCGCTCATCTTCTACATCCATGTGGGCGCCCGCCTTTACATTCATGATAGTGCTTCCGGGGTCCTGTGTCTGGCTGATAAGGCTTTCTCCGGGCTCTACAGTCCCTTTCGCGTCAGCTCCAGCGCTTCTCCGGCACTTCTCACCTCCAGACTCCGCAATAACTTGCGCGTTCGCGACCGCATACACTTTACACAGAGGAGATTCCTCACGCAAGCCTTCCTGCGCAGGCGCGGTGTCCGCGTCTTGCGGAACAGCATCGCCGGCGTCCCTCGACATCTGACCGGCAAACGGCAGAAACAAATATGAAACCTTCCGAATTTATTATGATCGGAAATAGCAGAGTTTGAAAAGAATTTTATTTTGCAATCCTGGACATGTACAGGATTATAACATGTATAGTTCCATGTAAATAATCATGGCCTCCAACGGTTTCGAAGAAAAGTTTGGCCGAAACTATTAAGAAAAGGTGTCGGTGGCCAAGCTGTCATCCAAGCACGACGAAGTGTGTTATGCGACTCGAGAAATCGGTAATTCAGCAACTTAACAAAATTCCCTGCTGTTCTACAGTTTGTCCTCCATCCTGCATCAAACATGTTCAACTTCACCAGGAGATTTCGTTGGCAAAAAACCAATGCTGATGCGGTGTTTGCTGGCAATTTTATCTGAAGAGCCTAATTATGAGAAAATAAAAGCGCTCTTGAGAATTCCGTGTTCATATACCACTGTTGAACCAACCAACACAGGCACGAAGAAGCAACATCACATACCCAAAATCATGGTGCCAATTCCTGAGTAGAGACCTTAGTGTCGAGATGCCAAGAAGATGTCTCCGGTTCTATGATAACTAGTCGTAGTGCTTCCCAGTTCTGGCGGATTCAGTAACATACTTTTTGTCATCAGGGTATGTATTGGCCACAAGTGACAAGAAGGCAGCGTCAAACTTGGAAGTTCCACAAGCACGTGAATCTCTTTGGATAGTTTCTCCCAAAATACTCCTCGTCATCAAGTAAAAAAATAATATCAAGAAATGAATGCTCTAATTTTGTACGGGATAACTTATCATTGCTCCTTCTTCCATCCAATACTTTATACTACTACACCGTTGCCCGTCCAAACTGAGAATAATCTCAAACAAAGTGGACAACATGTTTTTATTAATTGCAATTTTCTTCTTTCGTGATTAAAAGCACCAATGAATCCGAGATTGTTCTCATTCAAAAAGAGACGATCTACTGTACTGACCTAGATACCGTAGACCATGTCGTTCATCTTCTCCGCCGCATTCACCGCATCTCGACAGTGCAACTCCATATTCGCCACCAACGTGGGGGTGATGCACTTGATACTCGCTTCAGCCGCCTTCTCCAAGAAGCGCATAGTACGCTCCTTAATTGTCAAAAGGTTGCCGTCATCATCCGCCATGTTGCTTCGATCACAAATCTCCTCGCGATACAAAGCAAGATACGCCTTGATACGTGCTTTTAGGACGGAGAAACAGCCCTCGATGGGGTTGCACATCGGAGAGTAGGGGCCGAGGCGTAGTAGCTTCAGGTCGGCGTGCTCTTCCACCCGCTCTTCTGTTTGGCGATGTGCAGGAGCGTTATCCAGGACGATAACAACCTTCTTACCGGCAAAGTTGCTTTGAAAGACAGGAGACGCCTTTACTGTACGGTAGACCTCGTCGATAAAGGCAGTATTTTGGGCAATACGAATACTCCCCCTCTCCAGCCGATGGAGTACAACGCCCATAGCTGAGTTGACCGCGCACTGGACTTGCAAGTTGGCCCCTTTTGACGGTGGCATCACCAGTATAGCTCGTTCTCCTTTACGCGCGCGTCCCCGACCACGCTTACAATACACATTGTAGTTAGTCTCATCTAAGTAGATAATACAGTCACCGTCTTTTTGATGGTCCTTGAGAGCTGTCGCGAACTTGGAGCGTTTGGTCTTGTTGATGTCATTGTTGCACGTCATGGGCCAGTCAGCGCGTCCTGCACGATGTGCGGAAAGAACGCGAAGCTTCTTGGCGGGTGTGTGCTTTCGGAGGAGGGGTTGGGAGGGCATCTGCGCTCAAACAGGTGAATTGAGAAGTGAGCTACTTCAGCCTCGTGCGCGGGCTTTCGCGCGCATTTTGGCGCCAAGACGTCTTCACCACCCATACTACGGCTGCCGCCTTTCCATGTCTTGTTTTGGATGAAATTTTTCTCGCTTTGTTTGCTGATTATTTTTGTTTAACTTGATATTCATATTTCACGAAACAAATTGTCCGCTTTGCTTGAAACTAATCTCAGTTTGGACGGGCAAAGGTGTAGTACTAAATATGTTAAATATTCTGCAATACTTAATGACATACGTAGTACAATATTTAAGTAAAAATTGATTTGGGGCTCATTCGAAAATATAATAACATACTTTTTTTCCAACCTCTGTCATCAAGTGTCCATGAGAGCACTCTGTAACGTCCTTTCCACGTCTTTGAACCGGTACTTTTACAGCCGAAAGTATGCGAATATTAATTCAAAGTATACCGTCATTCGTGAATACAGGGTTGCTCAGAATATAATTTTTATGGATTTCCTCGTTTAATGAGAATAAATACCTGCATGGTAGATCGGAAATCTGCAAATAAATAATTTGTGCTGCGACTGTGGCAAAAAAATATCTGCATATGTGTTACTAGATTAATGACTTTGGAGAAAACATGCTCCTCGAGTGCTGGGAGGGCATCAGGGAAGCGTCGGACATGGCAAAGGTTGCGAGAGTTGGTAATTTGGGCTGTGTGCGAATTGAAAAGTGAGGTTGAGTCGGCAGCACAAGTTCGCAGACAGCTCAGAGCCAACGAAAATCTGGTGGCTGCCGAACAAGGACAATAAATTTCACGTAGGAATTTATAAAATCCAAAAATAAAATTTCAAAATGTGGCCAGTCCATAAATAAATTATTTCTCTATTGAAAAAAATATATTTTCAGTAAATATATTTTTAAGGATCCCTGATACATTGTATGCAGCATATTACTATCTGCATACAGTCTAAACTCCCTGGAGCACCCCTCGAGCAACACCCTGCTCTTCCTCCTGTTGGCTTGCAAACGAGTTAAAGATCTTCTCCAACGTCGTCTGCGATACACTGTACTCCCGAATGTGCATCGAAGTCTTGATCTCTTCAATAAGCGCAAACATTCTCGAGAGTATTACGTCGCCACGCACCTTGAAGCGACAAAAGTCGTTCTGTCGCTCCAGCACAGCCACTCCCTCCTCTCCGAACGCTTGTCGTAAAAAGTCGCTCAAAGCTCCAAACCGTGTCTCCTCCACACACCAGGAGCAAAACGCCTCGGCTCGGATGAAGCCGTCGCGTTCCATCGCGGCCGCCAGACTGTAACCAGTCGGATGCGAAGCCGTGATACACGCAGCCAGCTCGGTATTACCAAAGACGCGGCACTTCTCTTCCAGATCCGCCGATGTCACGTAGCTCTCACCCCCTCCAAACACTTTTTGAACCAGAGTTTCCAGCTCTTCAGCAGTGACCGAGTCAAACTTCGTGTCGAACACCAGACCGTCTCCAAATCTCGATTTCAGATGCTGTACACTCCCGTAACACCGCAATCGACCTCCGACCATGATGCAAACTTTCGAGCACAAGGCTTCACACTCCTCCATACTATGCGTGGTCAACACAATCGTGGATTCTTTGCCTCGAGTCGAGATGTCTGCAATGACATCCCACATAAACCGACGAGATACCGGATCCATACCGGTAGAAGGTTCATCCAGGAACACGATCGGAGGACTGCCAATGAGTGCAATTGCCACCGACAACTTGCGCTTGTTACCGCCACTCAAGCTGCCAGCCAATTTGTGCTCAAAGTCTGCGAGATTCAGCTGCTGGATCTTCTCGGTTACCACAATCTCCGTGTCTTGTCTGGACACTCCTTTGATCGCTGCGAACAACTCCAAATGTTCACGCACAGTCATACACTCAAAGAGCGCATCAAACTGGGGACAGTAGCCGATCTGACGTCGCACTTCGAGCTGCTGCGCTAGGATGTCGAAGCCTCCCAGTGTTGCCGTTCCCTTACTAGGTTGCACGTCTCCTGTGAGCATCTTCATGGTCGTCGTCTTACCAGCTCCGTTGATACCCAGGAAGCCAAAACATTCGCCGCGTTTCAAGCCAAAAGACAAGTCTCGCACCGCTACTTTGCCTCCTTTGTAGACCTTTCGAAGTCCGGATACTTTCACCGCTTCGTTGTCTACTCCACCGCTTACCACTCGCTACGCTTCGTTCGCAACATCCACGTCGACTGCATAGTTACCGTCTTCTACCGATTGTAAACCGGTATTATACCTTCGGAAACCAGGGATTTTCACCTCGTAGTCGATCGCCAACACCACAGCCGAGAAGAGGATCGTTGTGAGCACCAGATAAATCATCTCTGCACCCATAAGATCCGTACTAAACGGATTTTTCTTCTCTGTCGTGCCGTCCTGAAGCGTATCCAGCTCGTTCAGTACCAAAGACAATAATCCGTTGCCGAGATCGAACAGAGGCGACAATCTCCACACGAATTTCAGCACCGAATTCACCGATTTCGTCGACTCGATCACGTCCAGAATGTACGATACGATCATTAAGACAACGCCCAAGAGGAAGTTGATCTTCATCGTAGACGTCTGCGACGCCGCGTGCTCCTTGAACAGGAACGAGAGACAACGGACAAATCGCCAGTCCGAAGGGAAGAAAGAGCACAATCACCGCCGGAAACGTGTCCGAAGTGCAGCTGGAGCACTCGGAATTGCCCGTCAACGCCGAGATATCGAAGGCGTTAATCAGGACAAGAGCCGCGATACACGGCACCACGTACATGATGAGATCCCAGAGATAATTCGCCAGCCAGAACGCAGGGAGCGACACACCGGAGACCAGCTGTTGGTGCTAGGAATTGTGGTTCGCTTCCTTCTCCTTCACCAGATAAACCACCACGGGGAGCGGGAAATACGAGAACGAGATGCACACGAACACGCAGGCGCTGAACGCCAGGAAGGAGCCAAAAAGCGCCTTGGCCGCTGCAGTCAGCGGCAGCGGATGGTTGTTCACCGTCAAGTCCACATCGTCACTGGTATTTACTGCGAAAAACCGGTAAATGGCTTGATCCATCAGCGCGTTGAAGATGATCGGAGCGTGCGTCGCCGTCGTGTTGACCAGCAGATTGTAGCCGAAAATCTGCTCGCTGCTGTCTCCGTAGACCAAGTACGCGCCGTACTGTCCGTGCTTTAAGTCGCTCTGGCCTCCGTAGCTTCGGTCGTACAGTTTTTGACCCATCCGAAGCTCGTACCCAGAAGAGCCCGTCGCGTTGATCTCTGGATCGGAGTAAGTCACGTCAAACACCGTCGGAGCGTTGGAATCGTACGCAGGAGACGCAATCTCCAGCTCCTGAGCGCTAGCACCCGAGAAGTGCGAGCCAAAGACTTCAGAACACCACTGATCCTTTTGAACTTGGCAGTAGTACGGCGTCGTTGTCGCATTGTCCGAGGCATACGCACTCGTGTTCAGTACCAAGTTGGGGTCATCCGAAGTGGTTCCGCTGCTCTTCAAGATGATGAGCCCCGCCAGTAGCAGTAGAATTGGGTACAAAGTCGTGTACATAATCATCTTTTTCTCGCGTTTGGCATGATGGAAACGTTTGAGAAGCAACGCTCTTAAGTGCGACACAAACACCCCACTTGTCTGTAGAACCACCGCGTCGATCTCCTTAGACTCCGCACGTCTGTAGCCCAATGTATGTTGATGATTCTCGTCGTCTGCCTCCGCCACTTTGATGAAAACTTCCTCCAGTGTGGTGGCGGAAATACCGTAGGATAAAAGACCCAGTTTTGTCATTTTATTGTCCATTTCCGAAAACATCGGAGCAAACATGGACGAGCTCTTTTGCGCCAATTGGAACGCGATCTGGCTGCCCACAGTACATGTACTCAGAAGCTCAGCAAAGGAGCGCGTAATCATTGCCACGTGGTACATCACGTACACGCTCATCCAGTTCCTCAGCGCTGTTCTGCAAGCCGTCTCCGGCCTCATTGGCCTCTTCGCCAACAGTTCAGTGCTCGTCATCTTCCTCTTCTTCTTCTTGTTCGGACTGAGCGTCCTCTGCTTCGCCTTCTTCATCAGTACCTTATTCAGCAACGCTCGTACCGGCTCTTTCGTCGGTATGATACTGTTTTTCTTGATGTATTTCGTGGCTCAAGCATTCACCGACGACTCTCCTGAGCCAGATATTACTCAGGCTTGTATCATGCCCCCCGTCGCGCTGTCGTTTGGCTTATCCACCATTGCAGACTTCGAGACGTCGGGCATTGGCGCCAATTTCGGCAATTTGGATACGCTCAATGTGAATTTTCGACTAAGTACGGCCCTGCAGATGTTCCTGTTCGACTGTGTGGTCTACACGCTGCTGGGTCTCTACTTTAAGAGAGTCATCCCCAAGCAATACGGCACCAGCCTCAAGTGCCGTTTTCTTCGTCTTTTTGGCACGGACGTAAAAAATCCGAGCCTTTGATGGAGAATCCAGCGGATTCCATGGATAATGTGGCGGTGGATTTAAACACGAAGATCGAGTCTGTGAGTGCTGAACTGCGCGAACAAGAACGTCGAGGCGAGGCTTTATCCGTGCAAAATCTACGCAAGACGTTCGAGGTGCCAGGAGGTACAAAAGTGGCTGTGAAGGGCCTGAATTTGGTCATGTACAAGGACCAAATCACGTGTCTCCTGGGTCACAATGGTGCTGGAAAATCCACGCTGATCTCCATGCTTACAGGGTAAGAAACTACAAAATTGAGCAGGGGAGAAATGCGATGCCGACGAGAAGGAAGCGCGCTTCCGCATCTTAGCGCTGTACGCGATGGGATATGAAGCCGAAGCCGCCGCGCTGTACGCAGCAGAGTTCATGCATCACCAGGACCTGTCATGGCAACCTTTTTGGGCTTGGATTTGGTGCGCTTGCTTTGTACCAAGGTTCCATCGTCCTTCTTCTGAACGTAAACCTCCACCAAGCGCTCCAGATCGGTTTCGTCGATAGACTTATGTGGCTCTTGGGCTGCGGTATACATAGGTGTAGTCTACACACAACCAGCGAACAAAATTCCGTAGCATAAGTCATACCTGACATGGCTCGCTCCTTTGCGCGCTTCGATCGGTACTCTTTTTTTTCAACTTATCAACGTGCTTGCGTACACCGCCAGCAGACAGCTCCTTGCTCAGCGCTGAGCCCAGACGCTCCGTAATTTCGACCCACCGCTCCGGCTTCGAGGCGCTATGAAGCTAGAAGATCCCGTCATCACCAACCACCTCGTTTATGAGCATGCAGTCTGCTTTCACCGAGTACGTGATGCGCTTTTTGCGGGCTTTCTCGCTCTTGTTTACTTGACACAGTCGCTTGAGCAGAGGGTCTCGTCATCGCCTCCACCACTGCGTAGGGGTGGCGCTGCCACGACTTGCAAGACTTGTGGCTCAACTCGACGTCTGACTGCATTATCGTAGTAGTTAGCGACACGTTGTCCGGTGACACCATCGGAATGAACACGTACTGTAGTCTCTGAAGGTATCCAGGTAAGGAGCTGATTAGTGCGTTTGTCCAATGCTTTGGGGCTTCTGTCGGCTTTTACCTGGAGTCGCGCGGGGGGTCGTGGCTGGCGCCGAGATTTTGCAGGTTGGTTGACTCCCTTTGCCCAAGGTTGCCGCACGCAATTGGTGCGGTATCACCTAGACTAACGTCGAGTTTATCGGGTTATAGGGTTTTACAGGAATCCGCTGAGCTATGGCACTGGAATATCTCGACTCTCCTGTATTCCACTGGAACAAGCTTTTGGTATATAAATATGCAAGTTACGTTTTAAGTATGATTTTATTGCAGCATTTTATTCCAAGGTGACGATAAATTCCAGAAGCTAAAGTTCTCTAATAGCGATCCGGTCTCCTAGAATATCCGCTTCGTCCATAAAGTGGGTGGTCAACACCATAACGCGGTCATTGCGGTTGTTCAGCAGGATCTCCCACGTCCATCCCAGAGCCAGAAACACCAACGAGCTGTCGCCAAGTAGCGAGATGGCCACGGATAATTTACGCTTCATCCCACCGGATAATTCCTTGGATAATACGTGACGTTTCTCCGTTAGTCCAACTTGACGGATTTGAGACTCGACAAGTGTCACCAGCGCTGCGTTCCGGTATTCTTTGACGCGTCCGAACACTAGCAGATGTTCTTGTACCGTCAAATCCTCGAATAGAACGTCGTGTTGGAAGCCGATTCCGAGAGATTCGCGGATTTCCTCAATGTCTTCAGTCGAGGATAATCCACGGTACTTGGCGTCTCCATTTGAAGGCGCAGTCATCCCTGTAAGCATGGAGATCAGCGTGGATTTTCCAGCACCATTGTGACCCAGGAGACACGTGATTTGGTCCTTGTACATGACCAAATTCAGGCCCTTCACAGCCACTTTTGTACCTCCTGGCACCTCGAACGTCTTGCGTAGATTTTGCACGGATAAAGCCTCGCCTCGACGTTCTTGTTCGCGCAGTTCAGCACTCACAGACTCGATCTTCGTGTTTAAAGTCACCGCCACATTATCCATGGAATCCGCTGGATTCTCCATCAAAGGCTCGGATTTTTTACGTCCGTGCCAAAAAGACGAAGAAAACGGCACTTGAGGCTGGTGCCGTATTGCTTGGGGATGACTCTCTTAAAGTAGAGACCCAGCAGCGTGTAGACCACACAGTCGACTGCAAGGCCGTACTTAGTCGAAAATTCACATTGAGCGTATCCAAATTGCCGAAATTGGCGCCAATGCCCGACGTCTCGAAGTCTGCAATGGTGGATAAGCCAAACGACAGCGCGACGGGGGGCATGATACAAGCCTGAGTAATATCTGGCTCAGGAGAGTCGTCGGTGAATGCTTGAGCCACGAAATACATCAAGAAAAACAGTATCATACCGACGAAAGAACCGGTACGAGCGTTGCTGAATAAGGTACTGATGAAGAAGGCGAAGCAGAGGACGCTCAGTCCGAACAAGAAGAAGAAGAGGAAGATGACGAGCACTGAACTGTTGGCGAAGAGGCCAATGAGGCCGGAGACGGCTTGCAGAACAGCGCTGAGGAACTGGATGAGCGTGTACGTGATGTACCACGTGGCAATGATTACGGGCTCCTTGACACCCAGGATCTTCATGTATTCACGCAGACGGAGCTCTTTCTCCTGGATAAAAACCACCAGAATCCGCGACGTGGTGTACAGATACGACAGGATGAAGATGATCGCGAAGACGCCAGAGATGTCGTCGTAGAAGGGCGAACTCGAGTACGCTTCGATGGGGAACGGGGCCACAGAAGAGCCGAGATAAGGCTGAGGAGCTTGACGCAGTGGTGTCAGTAAAAATCTCCTTCGTTGTGTTGGATAATTCCGACAACGGCAGATTCGAACCATACTCGCTTACAGCAGATTTTAGTATCGCGTCGCTCTGTAGATATTCTAACAGATTTTCGTCCAGATCGTCCGAGGGTGCGGCTGTGGACTGCTCACGTTGGCGTTGGCCGCTAGTAGTCTGCACTGCTGCGTCCCAGTCGGGCATACACGTGACGAAGCGCGTCACAAGCGTCTGCAACGTCATGAAGCCCGTCAGTGTGTAGCGTGTGTAATAATCTGTCGAGATGGATTTTTTCGACGGATACAAAGCGGCAGCGTTGCCGTTCGTAGGAGGGATAAGTCCAAGCGCTCCGCTGTTCGTCTCAGTCGAGCTCAGACGAAGTGTGTATTCGATGGATGAGAAGGATCCGATCTCATCACTGCTTGGATATTTGTCGAACACGATTCCGCCGTAGATTTTCGGATTATCCAGACTGGAGCCGTAGGTTTTCCCTTTTACGTATGCTTCCAGTGCCTCTTCAGAATCGAAGAAAGCGACACTTTCACTGAGACTTGCAAATTGTAGCGAGTTTGACAGGTTCAGTATGTTCACACGCGGATACCAGAGCTTCATCGTCTGGATGAAATACTCTCTTGTAAAGGTATTATCCGGTACTACCGCGATCTTGTACGGTACGACGCGCCCGCCACATTCGGTGGGTACACTGGACTCAGACGAAGCGTTTGCGTCCACATGTCCGTTCATCGCCACGCCGGTCGTACATATTTTGTACGCACTGGTCGACAGCTCGTTCAGCTTCATTCCGTCCGCCACGGACTGCCTAGCCATGTACCACAGTAGTCCAGTGACTGAGGTCTCGTACTGAGTCCATTTAGGAAGCTCTGTGGGCACTACAGAGAGGGAAAAACCGGTTGGGTCGTACAAACTGTACGTAGTCCCGACGGTGTGAATTGGTCGTGTCACTCCAACCCGCCGGGACGTCCACGTCGTCCACGAGGTGCTTAAGTGCACCCAATAGCAGCACGAAGATGCACGGAAGAGCGATCTCAAATACAGTGGCGAGCAGGTGTCGACGCTTGAGAGTGTAGTTTTTCCACAGCAGTGTACGCATATGCGCCACCATCGTGCGGTTGGCTGCCAGTGACGAGGAATCGCCCTCGTTCTTAATTGTGGAGAGTGGAAGCGGTGTAGATTGCTTAGCTCTGTGCTAATGACTTGCGACTTGTCGTTGAGATGGCTGAAATGGAAATGAGCTGTGGATGGCTGACGTCGGACCTGCACATGATATACATGTACGTACACCAGTCGAACAGGTGGGCGACCACCTAAAGCGTTGATGTACACGAAACGGTTTCAAGCGACACAAAATCAGTGCATTGAGATCGAAGTGAGAAAACATATTTGCTGTACCCACTTAAATAAATTAAGATTACTCGTTGCAAATCCGTGTTTCTAAGTCGGTTCAGTTGATTTTCACTTCGTTTTGATGGGCAAAGACCGTGTTTGGCAACCACATCATTTGGTCCGTCTCCGGTGCCTCCTGGATATTCACAGCGTTTTTAGATGAATTAAACAATTTAAGTTTGCATCGTTCTTGCGTCGTTGATCTTGTTTGTTGTTGCCTGCGGTTCTTCACAGGATCCAGTCAGTCGATGAACATCTTGAGCTCCTGACCTATCCGCTGTGAAAAATGAACCCAACGAGGGACGTGATGTCGATGTCGTTGGGTACTGACCGAATAGCTCCATGCGCCAAGTGATCTGCAACCCCGAATTCACTCAGAATATAGTAAACTAGGAGCCTTGAAAAGCTCCTCTCGGGTACTACCCGGCACCGGTCGTCTACAGTTCAGCTTTAGCACTGGTAAACCACCAGCAAGCTTCTCCCTACTCCAGAAAAATGAAAACGAGGGTGGAGGAATAAACACGCGAAATTTCCGTCTTGAAGTTGGCAAAAGCCCGCCACATAAATCAAATCATACCTTCGACTAAAAACTGTTATCAAGACCACGGTGTTACTGTGTCGAGTCACGCTATCC